CCAAAGAGCTCATGAAAAGATGTCCAACATAATTAGTCATGAGGGAAATGCAAATGAAAACCACACCGAGAATGAGATACTACTTCACATTTGGATGGCAAAAATAAAAAAGACAGTGTGCTGATGAGGATGTGGAGAAATTGGAATTCTCATACATTGCTAACGGCATTGTAAAATGGCACAGCCACTTTGGAAAACACTTTGGTAGTTTCTCAAAAACTAAGCATATGACCCACAATTCTAATCCTAGGTATCTACCAAAGATAATTGAAAGTGTATGTCCATACAAAAACTTGTACATGAATATTTATAGGAACACCATTCATAATAGACAAAAGTGAGAAACAACCCAAATGTCTATCAACTGATGAAGATAGAAACAAAATGGCATAAATAAAGTGCAATATTATTTGGCCATAAAATGGAATGAGGTATTGATACAGCTACAACATGGATAAATCTTGAAAACATTATGCTAAGTGAAAGAAGCCACTCACCAAAAGCCACATACTGTATGACTGCACTTACATGAAATGTCCATAATAGGCAGATGCATAGAGTCAGAAAGTAGATTGGTGATTGCCAGGGGCTGGAGACGGGGGGAATGGGGGGTGACTGCTAATGGGCATAGGGTTTCTCTTTAGGGTGATGATAATATCTGGAATTAGTGTTGATGGTTGCACAACTTTGTAAATATGATAAAAAGCCATTGAATTGTTTACTTAAATTGGATTTTATGGTATGTGAATTATATATCACTGTTAAAAATTACATAAAGCACAATTGCTGCATTGAAGGTTTAACAATCTAGATCTAGCAATAGGAAATCCATTTATTCAAGCAGCTGATATATACAAGGTACTCTTCTTGACAATTGGGGATGTTTCAGAAATATCTGACTGCCGTCCTCTTCCTTTCCCCAACAATTCAGTCTTAGAGCTATCGGGGGCAGCCTAGCAAAGGAATTGCTGCTCCAGAATGAGGAGTTGGGGAACTGTGGCAGTTCAAAGCAAAGTGAGAGGCATCTGCTGGGGGCAACCTGGGGCGGGGTGTTGGATTCCAAATGGGGTAAGAGGGGCAAGCCTAAGGTGGAGGGGGTGGTGGTAGCAATGGGACATTGGTTACAGACAGGAAGACTGGTCAAATAAGTAAGTAAATAAAGAGAATGGGGGCCAGGTTTGCCACTATAGGACAAAAGAGTTACAAATATGGAAAGAGAGAAAACAAAACGAACCCTCTGATGAATCCTGTGTAATTTTGTCTGATATGGCTGTGTGAGAGTGGCACCCTGATAATAAAAAAATCCCTAGCACCCAGATCTTGGCTTCTAACACCACTTTCCACTAAAAGGAACTAGAGTTCCCTCAAGAAATGCTTATTCGAGAACTGGGGAAGGGAAAGATGAATTTGGAACATCTTTTTGTGTTAAAAAGCAAGGAAATGTTCAAAGAATAACAAGGCTATTTCAGAAGGACACAGAAGCCAGATTGAAAGGCTCCCACTAGCCAAATCTGGGACAACTTGGGCATCAAAATGAGTGTTATTAATGGATTATATTCCATTGAATAAAGTAGGAAATCATGAGTCCCTACTGATATAAACAAATTAATGAATAAATGGAAAGTTTGATATGGGATGAGATATTTACATAATTTCAAAGTATTTTCTCACAAAATACTAACAACAAAAAGGCAAAGGAATTTTACAAAGGAGAAGCCTGGCTGATATCACCTTAATCAAGTGACCTAAGTGAACCTCACCAGCAATGGGACAAGTCGCACCATGGCCTTTCTGTGTTATTCCCACTCAAAGATGCATAACCTGAATCTAATCAAGAAGAAACATAAGACAAAGCCAATTTGAGGGACATCTAAAACATAACTGGCCTGTGTTCTTCAAAATCATCAAGGCTGTGTGAAATTTACAGGAAGATTGAGAAACTGTTCCAGATTGAAGGAAACTAAAGAGTGAGAAAACTGAATGCAATATCTGATTCTGAACTGGATCCTTTTGCAAAATGGACATTACAGGGACAACCGGAAAATTTGAATGGTGTCTGAGGATTAGATGGTGGTAATAAAAACATGTTAATTTTCTGATTTCCTCTGATTTTGATGGTTATATTGAGGTTATGTAGAATATCTTTGTAGGAATTACACACTCAAGTATTTGGGGATCATGAGTATCGTGTCAATAATATATTTTCAAATGATTCAGGAAAATAAGCTTTTGTACTGTGCTTCCACTTTTCTATAAGCTTAAAATCATTTCAAGAAGCAACAAATCTGAGGGCCTGCCCTGTGGCCGAGTGGTTATGTTTGCACACTCTGCTTTGGCAGCTCAGAGTTCTGCGAGTTCGGGTCCTGGGCGTGGACATGGCACAGTTCATCATGCCATGCTGAGGCAATGTCCCACATAGCTCAACCAGAGGCACTCACAGCTGGAATATACAACTATGTACTGCGGGGCTTTGGGGAGAAGAAAAAGGGGGGAAAAGGGAAAAAATTGAGAAACAAATCTGACCTTGGGACCTACTTAACATAAGAATTAATAGTAAGAATATTACACTCTTAGTGTAATGTTTGGTTGCATTATTTATTTGGGGGTTTGTGTTTACTGATATGTGTTTGTCACTAACACTAAACCATCACTGATGGCCCGGCATTGGTGTTCCATTTGGAGCCAAACCTTCTGCTCCTTGGTTTACCCTTTTTGACTTTTGTGGCTCATTTGTAAGTTCAATATGCTGTGTGTAAATCTCCATAGTTGACGTGGCTAGTATTTTTATAAGAACTTCAGAATCTTTGAATTACAACTAATTTTTAACTTTCCGTTGCTCCTGGTGATTCAAGATTCAGCAACATAGGATATTCTGAATTTAAAATAAAAGATTATAAAATATTTCAGCACTTAAATGAAGACTAAATACATGCAACGATTTTTCTTTTCTAAACTATTCGGCATAATTACTTCTATAATACATTATTTTTAAGAAAATATGGCACATTTGCATGAAATGGTTTTCTGTGAATCATTAATCAAGCTAATATGAACTATAAACAATACTTGTTCCATAGATTCTAACCATTAGCTATCTTGCCCTTTAAACTTTCTTGAGATTATTCCCTGCTATTAATTTGTACTTGTAATAACAAAACTCAGACAAACCAGACTGTTGGGATCCCTTCCTGCACACCTGCCACTGGTGGGAGGGGAAAAGGAGGCTGCAGGAGAGGGGGAGTGGAGAGGAGTGGGAAGGAAAGTAGATAACCTCCAAAGTAATTCAGCTCTGATCTTCTCTCTCCTGTCCTCATTACTCCATCCATCACCGATTCAACTATGTGTCAGGCAGGGTAATAGGCACTGGGGACGCAATGATGAATGAGACACATTCTGGGCTCTTTAAGCAGCACTGAGTTCAGAGGCAGACTGCTGGGCTAGAAATTTAAGTGTATTCTGATAGTTTCTACAAAAGAAGTCAAATACAATGTGCTATCAAAGGAGAAAAACTGCTGCCTGACAAGAATAAGGAAAGTCTTCACAGAAGAGGTGACATTTAAAGCCTTGGCTGCAGTTTGTCAGGAAAGGAGGAGGAAGGGAGCTGTAAGCAGAAGGAAAAGTTGAAGCAGAAGGCTGAAGGTCTGAAAGCACGGCTTCTGGGAGCCCCTGGAGGGTTGGGGGAGAACACAGTGAAGTGCAGTGTGTGTGTCTGAGAGAAGGCAGAGGCTGCAGAGCAGACCAGAAAGGCCCATGTGGGCAGACCATTTAAAAAAAGAAAACAGACAAAAAACAACACAGCAATAACAAACACCTCTGTGTTCTATGCTAAGGAATTTGGACTTTATTCTGAAGCTATGGGGTGTCAGTGGAGGTTTTGCTGGAGAGTGGCATGGTCTTCTCCCTCCCAACACAAGGATTCTGTGATTCTGGGGTGTGGGAAGGGAGTGTCTTACCCCTGCCCACTGCTGGGAGAATTGCCGGCTCTCTCCCTTCATTTAGCTCTGCTCTAACATTACCTCCTCTCCGCCTGCCTACCCTGACGAAAATAGCATGCCCTTCATTTCTATTTCTTATCTGGCTTTATTTTTCTCCATGGTACTTCCTAAATATTCCCAAATATTTGACCTATTTCCCTGTTTATTGTCTGTCTCCCTTACTGGTATGATAAGCTCTATGCTAACAGGGACTTTGTCCTATTATTGCTGTCTCTCCGTGCCTCATACTGTGCTGAACGTACAGTGAGCGTATGTTCTGGAATGAGTGAAGAGCAATACAGACCTGCCACAAATCTTGGTCCAAAGATTTGGGAACGCATAAAACTCAGATTCTAGGAAGGGAAACTCAGTGGCCAAGAGACTCTGAGCCTCCAGGTAGAGGGATGGTTGGGTAAGAAGCCCCAAGAAGATCTCTAGAGCAACAGCCTTCCACATGAGATGGTGAATCCTTACCCTGTGATCCTTTTTGTCTTTTTCCCCAGAGCTGACCCTTTGTAATGACAAGGCAGGACTCAGAAAATATTCTAATTTAGGGGTGTTGGAACCCAGGCAAGGATTTCACTGGGAAAGAGAGTGAAGCCTCGATCTTTTCTCCAGCACATTTTGAAGCCAGAGACTGGAAACACGAAGCTGGTCTTTTCCTGAACTACCCTGAGATCTCGAAATGGGCAACCCATGTCCTGCAGAACTCGTGGGTCTCATGAGGTCTCAGCCTGAACATGCCATCTTCAACTTCCCAGCATCTTGCATGCTTGGCTCTGAAGGACATGAGGGGCAGTCATGCTACAGGGGCAAATTCATCAGGAGTTACCTGAATCTCCAGCAGCTGGATGTCCAGAAACTTCAAACACTGGCTCATGGCTCAGGTCCTTAGCTTTCAAAGCCACCTGGCTAGAAGTCACTTCAAATACAAGACAGACAGACAAATCTCAACTATCGGAAAAATGGCGGCCTTGTTTCTAGATCTTTCCAATTTGAAAACCAACTAATTTCTTTCTCTTTCAGGCAACCAAAACCTTGTATTATGGACGCACTAGGAAAATACAGTCGTGCTTTTATTGCCTGGCATATGGGTGATTTTGAGCACACTAATCAAAGAAATTCCAAATGGGCTATCCTCGTTAGGCAAAGTAAGGCAGCATTGCCAAGAGCTTCCAGACCACCTAAGTTGCCACAGCTACCCATAAAGGAGGAGGTATGATCATTTGCTTTTCTAAATAATCATAGAAAACATCAAGCTGTTTTAACATATGAATTAGAGAATGCTGTTTAATGGTAATACTACTAATAATCAGCTTTACAGCTCCTTTTAACCAATCAAAACATCTTGTAATTTATATTGGATTTCCACAGTAATGTCTATTCTGTGGATAGGGGGATGTTATTGCCATCTTATAGCTAAAGAAAACAAGAGGTTGTGGGGTTCAGTCCTTACAACTGCTTATTTATCATATGGTTTAACCTGGAGAGAATGGCCTTCTCCTTGATTTCCAAAACCTGAGAAAGCTCTCAATTTGTGAAATGGAGGTAAATTTACAACCCCTCTTAAAACCCTTATAGACCGGTGAGCAATGTAAGAATATACCAGTTCAAATTCAAGGTGTTTTTTCCCATTACTATCTATGAAATCTTGAGCAAGTTGCGTAATTTCCCTAAATGGTTTTATTAATAACTAAAATAGGAATAATAGTAACTGTCCTGAATATTTTGTAGAGATATCACGAGGATCAAGTAAAGAATGTGTAAGTATGTATTCAAGTCAACAACTCTTTCCTGTATAATGCACAGCAAAAAGCACTTTGTAGTAGTCCAGTGTTTCTTTTTTTTTAATGTTTTTTTATTTTTTAATTGTAGTAACGTTGGATTATAACATTACATAGCTTTTGCTTTAGGAAATGTGGACATTTTAACGGTGTTAATTCTTCCAATCCAAGAGCACAGAATATCTTTCCATTTCTTTGTGTCTTCTTTGATTTCTTTCAATAATGTTTTATAGTTTTTGGCGTACAGATCTTTCACCTCTTTGGTTAAGTTTATTCCTATGTATTTTATTCTTTTTGTTGCAATTGTAAATGGGATTGTATTCTTAATTTCTCTTTCTGCTACTTCGTTGTGAGTGTATAGAAATGCAACCGATTTTTGTACATTGATTTTGTCTCCCGCGACTTGACTGTATTCCTTTATTATTTCTAAAAGTTTTTTAGTGGAATCTTTAGGGTTTTCTAGATATAAAATCATGTCATCTGCAAAGAGTGACAGTTTCACTTCTTCTTTTCCAATGTGGATCCCTTTTATTTCTTTTTCTTGCCTGATTGCTCTGGCTAGGACTTCCAACACTATGTTAAATAACAGTAGTGACAGTAGGCATCCTTGTCTGGTTCCTGTTCTTAGAGGGATAGCTTTCAGTTTTTCTCCATTGAGAATGATATTTACTGGGTTTGTCATATATGGCCTTTACTATGTTTAGGTATTTTCCTTCTATACCCATTTTATTTAGAGTTTTTGTCATAAATGGATGCTGTATCTTGTCAAAAGCTTTCTCTGCAACTACTGAGATGATCATGTGATTTTTATTCTTCATTTTGTTAATGTGATGTATCACGTTGACAGATTTGCGGATGTTGAACCATCCCTGCATCCCTGGACTGAAACCCACTTGATCATGATGTATGATCTTTTTAATGTATTGTTGTATTCGATTTGCTAGTATTTTGTTGAGGATTTTTGCATTGATGTTTATCAGTGATATTGGCCTGTAATTTTCTTTTTTTGTGTTGTCCTTGTCTGGTTTCAGTATCAGGATAATGTTGGCTTCATAGAATGAGTTAGGAAGCCTCCCCTCCTCTTCAATTTTTTGGAAGAGTTTGAGAAGGATAGATATTAATCTTCTTTGAATGTTTGGTAGAATTCACCAGGGAAGCCATCTGGTCCTGGACTTTTATTTTTTGGGAGGTTTTTGATTGCTGTTTCGATCTCCTTACTGGTGATCGGTCTATTCAAATTTTCTACTTCTTCTTGGTCCAGTTTTGGAAGCTTTTGGATGTACATCATAATATATTTCGAATTCTGTGTAGATTACATCATGTTCACCACCCAAAAACTAATTATAGTCCATCCCCTCACATGTGAGCCTAATCACCCCTTTTGCCCTCCCCCACTCCCCTATGGTAACCACCAATCCAGTCTCCAATGCTATGTGTTTGTTTGTCGTTGTTTTTATCTTCCACTTATGAGCGAGATCATACAGTATTTGCCTTTCTCCCTCTGACTTATTTCACTCAGCATAAGACCCTCAACGTCCATCCATGTTGACACAAATGGCCGGATTTCATCATTACTTATGGCTGAGTAGTAGTCCATCGTGTATAAATACCACATCTTCTTTATCCATTGGTTCCTTGATGGGCACCTAGGTTGCTTCCAAGTCTTGGCTATTGTGTACAATGCTGCAATGAACATAGGGGTGCAGGTATCTTTATGCCTTTACCTTTTCAAGTTCTTTGGATAAATACCCAGCAGTGGGATAGCTGGATCATACGGCAGATCTATTCTTAATTTTCTGAGGATACTCCATGCTGCTTTCCATAGTGGCTGCACCAGTTTGCACTCCCACCAGCCAGTGTACAAGTGTTCCCTTCTCTCCACAACCTCTCCAACATTTGTTGTTTCCTGTCTTGTTAATTATAGCCATTTTGACTGGAGTGAGGTGATACCTCATTGTAGTTTTGATTTGCATTTCCCTGATAGCTAATGATCTTGAGCATCTAGGCCTGTTGGCCATCCGTATATCTTCTTTGGAGAGATCTCTGTTCAGATCCTTTGCCCATTTTTTAATTGGGTTGTTGGGGGGATTTTTGTTGAGCTGTATGAGTTCTTTGTATATTTTGGATATTAACCCCTTGTCTGATATATGGTTTGCAAATATCTTCTCCCAATTGTTAGGTTGTCTTTTCGTTTTGTTGATGGTTTCGTTTGCTGTGCGGAAGCTTTTTAGTTTGATGTAGTCCCATTTGTTCATTTTTTCTATTGTTTCCCTTGCCCGGTCAGACATGGGACTTGAAAATATGCTGCTCAAAGAGTGTACTGCCTATGTTTTCTTCTAGAAATTTCATGGTTTCGGGTCTTACATTTAAGTCTTTAGTCCATTTTGAGTTGATTTTTGTGCATGATATAAGGGAATGGTCTACTTTCATTCTTTTGCATGTGGCTGTCCAGTTTTCCCAAAACCATTTATTGAAGAGACTCTCTTTTCTCCATCGTATGCTCTTGGCTCCCTCGTCGAATATTAGGTGTCCGTAAATGTGTGGGTTTACTTCTGGGCTCTCGATTCTGTTCCATTTATCTGTGTGTCTGTTTTTGTGCCAGTACCATGTTGTTTTGGTTACTATGGCTTTGTAGTATATTTTGAAATCAGGGAGTGTGATACCTCCAGCTGTTCTTTTTTCTCAGGAATCCTTTGGCTACTCAGGGTCTTTTGTTGTTCCATATAAATTTTAGGATTCTTTGTTCTATTTCTGTGAAAAATGTTGTTGGAACTTTGATAGGGATTGTGTTGAATCCATAGATTGCTCTCTTTTTCTCTTGGTGAGTCTAGCTAAGGGTTTGTCAATTTTGTTTATCTTTTCAAAGAACCAGTTCTTGGTTTCATTAATTTTTTCTATTGTTTTTTTAGTCTCTATTTCATTTATTTCTGCTCTGATTTTTATTATTTCCTTCCTTCTGCTGATTTTGGGCTTTGTTTGTTGCTCTTTTTCCAGTACCTTTAGATGCACTTTTAGATTGTCTATTTGGGATTTTTCTTCTTTGTTGAGGTAGGCCTGAATTGCTATAAACTTCCCTCTTAGAACCACTTTTGCTGTATCCCAGATTTTGGCATGTCGTATTTTCATTTTCATTTGTCTCCAGGAATTTTTTGATTTCTCCTTTGATTTCTTCATTGACCCAATCGTTGTTCAGTAGCATTTTGGTTAATCTCCACATCTTTGTAGCTTTTCTGGTTATCTTCCTGTAGTTGATTTCTAGTTTCATACCTTTGTGGTCAGAAAAGATGCATGGTATTATTTCGATCTTCTTAAATTTATTGAGACTTGTTTTGTGGCCTAATATGTGATCAATCCTGGAGAACGTTCCATGTGCATTTGAAAAGAATGTGTATTCTGTGGTTTTTGGATGGAATGTCCTGTGTGTATATCTACTAAGTCCATCTGGTCTAATGTGTCCTTTAAGGCCAGTATTTCCTTATTGATCTTCTGTTTGGATGATCTATCCATTGGTGTAAGTCGAGTGTGAAAGTCCCCTACTACAACTGTGTTATTGTCTATTTCTCCTTTTATGTCTGTTAATACTTGCTTTATATATTTAGGTGCTTCTATGTTGGGTGCATAGATATTTACAAGTGTTATATTTTCTTGTTGGATTGTTCCCTTTATCATTATGTAGTGCCCATCTTTGTCTCTTGTTACAGTTTTTGTTTTAAAGTCTATTTTGTCTGATATAAGTATTGTTACCCCCACTTTCTTTTCTTTGCCATTTGCGTGGAATATCTTTTTCCATCCTTTCACTTTCAGTTTGTGAGTGTCTTTAGGTCTGAAGTGTGTCTCTTGTATGCAGTATATACATGGGTCTTGTTTTTTTACCCAATTAGCCACTCTATGGCATTTGATTGAAGCATTTAGTCCATTGACGTTTAAAGTAGCTATTGATAAATATGTATTTATTGCCATTTTGTTACTGTTTTTTCTGGGTGTTTTAGTAGTTCTCTGTTCCTTTCTTTTTCTCTTGCTCTCTTCCCTTATGGTTTGATGGCTGTCTTTAGTAATATGTTTGATTTCTTTTCTCTTACTTTTTTTCTTGCTTATTAAAGGTTTCTGATTTGTGATTATCATGAGGATCCTATGTAATATTCTATGTATATAACAGTCTCTATTGAGTTGATAGATTCTAGCTTGACCTCTTTCTAAAAGCTCTATGTTTTTACTCTCTTCCTCCCACATTTTATGTTTTTCAAATCATGTATAATCTCTTCTTTAGTGTGTGTCTATCCATTACCCTCTTATCATTGAAATAGGCGATTTTAGTACATTTGTCTTTTAACCTTCATATTATCTTCACAGGTAGTTGATCCGCTGCCTTTACTATATTTTTACCTTTACAAGTGATTTTATTGCCTGTTTTTTTTGTTGTTTTATTTTTTTG